GAAAAGGACAATAAATTTAATGAGACCTCGAGGATACGAAAAAGGATCAACTACAAATTAAACATATACTGACTAAAATAAAAAATATTAATCAGAAACCCAACAGCAGACTAGAGGAACACAAGAATCAAGTCAAAGATCTGGAATACAAAGAGGCAAAGAACACTTCTCCAGAGAAGAAGAGAATCCAGAAAGTTGAAGATGGTGTAAGGAGCCTCTGGGACAACTTCAAGCATACCAACATCAGAATTATGTGGGTTCCAGAAGAGGAGAGAGCAAGATACTGAAAACCTATTTGAAGAAATAATGTCAGAAAACTTCCCCTATCTGGTGAAACAAATGGACTTACAAGTACAGGAAGTGTACAGAACCCCAAACAAGAGGAATCCAAAGAGGACCACACTTGCAAGACACATCATAATTAAAATGCCAAGAGCAAAAGACAAAAAGAGGATCTTACAAACAGCAAGAGAAAAGCAATTGTTTACCTATAAGGGAGCACCCATATGACTATCAGCTGATTTCTCAACAGAAACTATACAGGCCAGACGGGAGTGGCAAGAAATATTCAAAGTGATGAATAGCAAGGACCTACAACCAAGATTACTCTACCCAGCAAAGTTATCCTTCAGAATTGAAGGGCAGAGAAAGAACTTCACAGATAAGAAAAAGCTAAAATAGTTCACCACCACCAAACCAGTATTATATGAAATGCTGAAAGGTATTCTTTAAGAAGAGGCAGAAGAAAAAAGTAAAGATGAAAATTATGATCAACAAATACATATATATCAACAAGTGAATCTTGCCAAAACCGGTTTGGCTCAGTGGACAGAGCGTCGGCCTGCGGACTGGAAGGTCCCGCATTTGATTCCGGTCAAGGGCATGTACCTTGGTTGCGGGCACATCCCCAGTAGGGGGTATGCAGGAGGCAGCTGATCAATGATTCTCATACATGTTTCTAACTCTCTATCCCTCTCTCTTCCTCTCTGTGAAAAATCAATAAAATATATTTTTTACAAAAACAAGTGAATCTAAAAATCAAGTGAATTAAAAATCTGAGGAACAAAATAAGCTAGTGAATATAATAAGAATCAGCCGCAAAAAAAGTGAGTGGATTGATAATTATCAGGGGCTTGGGGGGGTGCAGGAAGAAACTGGACTAAAATTGTACACTTATGGATGAGAACAACGGGGGGGTGAAGTAAGGGCAGAAGGTGGGTTGGGGTGGGAACTGGGTGGAAGGGAGCTATTGGGGGGGGGGATTGTAATAATCTGAGCAATAAAGATTTATCAAATTTTTTTAAATGAATAATTTTCTGACAAAAATCACCTTTTTAAAATACCGTTATTTGAATTTAAGAACAAATCTACTTTTGAGGCAAAAAAATAAAATAAAATGAATAAAGAGAAATATCTACATAATGCACACCTAACCTAAGAAGAATAAAAAAAAAAAAAAAAAAAAAAAACCTGTGCTTACAGGGTAGAAAATTAATAAGGCCAAAACATTCCATTTAAACTAGTTTTTCAACAGCTTCTTAGAAAGTTGTTACAAAAATCTTATTTTGGAAAACGAAAACAGTCTTTTCAACTCATTTTAAGAGACTCATAACCTTCATTTAAAAAATTTTTTTCTTTTAATTCTCACCTGAGGATATGTTTTTTGGGTTTTTTAAATATATATTTTATTGATTTTTTACATAGAGGAGAGAAGGATAGAGAGCTAGAAACGTCGATGAGAAAGAAACATCGACCAGCTGCCTCTTGCACACCCCCTACTGGGGATGTGCCCGAAACCAATGTACATGCCCTTGACCAGAATCGAACCTGGGACCTTTCAGTCCACAGACCGACGCTCTACCACTGAGCCAAACCGGTTTCGGCTATGTTTTCCATTTAGGGAAAGAAAGAGAGGGATCAACAGGCAACAGGTCTTGATTTGTTTTGTTTTGTTGTGTGTTTTTTTGGGGGGAGAGGGGTTGTTAATCTTCACCAGAAGATACCTTTCCATTGATTTTTAGAGAAAGTAGAAAGGAGGGGAAGGGGGGAGAGAGACACATTAATGTGAGACAGCAATCGATTGGTTGCCTCCCATAGACGTTCTGACCAGGGATGGGGATTGAGCCTGCAACCTGCAACTGTGGTACATGCCCTTGACTAGAATGGAACCCTCCATCCTTTAGTCCAAGTGCTGAGGCTCTATCCACGGAGCCAAAATGCTAGGGCAACCGGCACCATTCTTGGTGTATGGATGACTCTCCAACCAGTCACCCAGTCAGGGCTTAAAATATTTTTTAATTTTCTGCATTATTTTTTAACAGTCATCAGACAACTGACTGGTGGTTATTTATTACTACCAGAAGCAGGCACTTAGGAAGTCACAGGAAGGTAAATTATCCTAAACCCAACAGGTTAACTACAGCAGTTTGAGAGCTATTTTGCCAACGATCTCAACAGGTCCCAGTTAGACATTAAGTGAAACTTAAAACAATAAATTTCTAGATTCTAGAGATTTATTTAAACAAGTTTTTTTTTTAACAAGTATGCATCCTTACATGTATTTTTTAACTAGATTTTGTTAATTATGACGGATATTTGTTTAAAACAAAAGTTTAACAAGACAGAGTTAACCAGGTCAACATAGGAATCAAAAACACAATATTGAATTATTGGGCTAACTGCTTTCATTGAAAAGAATAACAAGCCTCAGTGCTTTCAGTTCATAAATGATTTTTCATTTTATAATCAAAGAAAATAAAAAACATGACTTCTTCAACCAAAAAATAATGTGGCTTAAAGCTATCACTTAATTGCTATTCTGTTTTAAAACCAGAATAAATTTTTTAATGGCTCACTCCTTTGTTCGTACCTTATTTTATTCAGAGACATCTTATCAGAATATATACCACTCTGTGTCTTTGAGCCTAATAATTTTTCTAAAAATTCAAATAAAATTTTATCATGCAACTATGATTTTTGTTGTTGTTTTTTTCTCACCCACACTGGGCCTCATCTTTCACAATACTTAAAAACAAACAACCCTAGTTGTTAAACACACACACACACACACACACACACACACCCCTCAAGCATATAAAATTCATTACACTGGTTTTGCAGCCATAGTAATTGTGTTAGTAAATACTGACTCTAAAGAACTAAAAACTAATTTATTAGGACAGGGTTTGACTCACAAGGGGGTGGGGAGAAATAATGGTCCTCCCCTACCAAACTGGCAGCAATATGCCAAGTTTCCTACGCTGAACAAGTGTAAACAAGGAAGAAAAAGAGCCCGGTGGAAAAGAAGGCAGGCAAGAAAACAACCCTCCTCAAGATAGCTTTATCAGTGTTTTCAGTAATCCCTGTCACTCTATTTAAACCCCATAGTTTGGGGCTTAGAAAAGTGTTGGAGGTCAGAGTCCCGGCTTGAGATCACCCTAGACATAAAAGATACAAGTGGTGCTGACAAATGCTTCTTTAATCCTAAAGACTAGCTCCTGCATTCAATGCCTCAGTTTTCTCTAAACATCTAGAAATTCAATCCCTTTTGCTGTAACAATCAACTTTAAAGCTAAAATAATAGAACTGACCAATGACGCTGAACAGAAAAAAAAAAAAAAAAAAAATCCACACATCCCCTTTGCAGGCACAACTACAAGGTTCCCATCATTAGTAAAATGAGCATCTTTCGGAATAGGACTAGATGAGGAATGGGATAAAGACTAGGCTTACAGCTTCTTTTTTTTTTTTTTTTCCCCTGCCAGTGCCTGAGGCATTTAGTGGGCATGGGATAAAGGGGAGGCTAGTTGTACACGTGATGCCAAAAGAAACAAGATTCCACATGTAGGGGGACTGCCCAACACAGAGAGCAAAGGGCATTCATTCCCTGGCTTTTTGACCAAAGAAAGATGAGTTGCTTTTCCTAAAATCTTTTCAAAGGAAGTCTAATGGCCTCTACTTTCTCACTCTCCCTGAGTGAACCAACAATCCCTCCTCAGAGAACAGGAGGAAGCCTTGATTATCAAAAACACCAAGTGCTCCATCCAAAGCCAAGAAACACTCCTTAGTCTAAGTGCCATGGTCTTGTGCCCCCATTCCAGTCTTCTACAGGGAGACTCCAAGCTAAAAACACTTGGTTCCCAACCTGAGCCAAGTTTTCCATTTCCCCAAATATCTACCCACCCAGCTTTCCCTCGACTAAGCCCAGAACTCTCCATATTCCAGCATCCTGGAGCAGAGGGCCCTGGTCCCCTCAAAAGGTTCCCTTCCCCAAGACAAACTCCTTCCCTTCACTTTTCCTAAAGTGTTTCCCAGACACCGCCCCAGGTCTAATGCTTCCAGTCCTCCATTAGCCAATCTGCTAGTTACTAGTAACTAGTATAGTAACTAGTAGGTCCCTCCCCTCCCTGGCACTACTCTTCCGAAAGTCGTACACACGTACACACATACACACCACACACACATATGTTCTCTACTCCTGATTCCTGAGCCCCAGGTTCCTCCAAACACCTAACACGTCCCCTGAGTTTGTCCTCATCCCTGTCTTCCTCACCCCTAATTCCACACGCAAAGCTTTTTTCCACTCCCCAAATTCAGATTTCCTGTGCTTTCTACTCTTAGCCAACACCGAGCCCTCTTCCCCCTAAGTCTACCGTAACCTGAGGCTCAGGTCTGTCTCCTCGTCCCGCGTTCCACGGCGCCCAAGACTCCACGGAACCTCAGGACCCTCCCCACAATCTCCCCCGCCCCTCCTGCTCTCCGCGGACCCCAACACCCCTCGTACGTCCTCTCGAACCTGCTCAACCCCCACATTTCTCCCAAGCCCTCCGGGTTCCCCCCCCCCCACACACACACACACACGCCTTTCCCGCCCCGGAAAGGGTGCCCCTCAGAGCCCGCCCGGCCCGCCCAGCCGCGGGGCTCGGGTGTCCCTCCCTCCCTCCCTCCCTCGGGGCCCCGAGGCCGCTGCCAACGCCGGCGGCGCGGCGAGGCCGGCTCACCAGTTGGTCATGTCCAGGAAGAAGGCGCAGCCGGCCGGGTTGAGCTGGAAGCCGAGCAGCCGCTGGAACTCGGAGATGAGCACGTCCTTGTCGGTGGTGCCCAGACAGCTGAACTTCTGCATCAGCTCGGGGTCCAGGTCCACGTCCATGCCCTCCATGTCTGGGGCCGAACAGCGCTCCCCGCCTCCTCGCGCCGAGCCGCCGCCGCGCCTTCGGGCCCGGGGACCAGGGGGGGCCGCTGCTGCCGGCGCCGCCCGCTCCTCTGAGTAGGCCCCGGGCCTCTCACCGCCTCATACGGGTAAACTCACTCAGCACTCGCGCGCTCCCCCCCTCCCACCCCCCCCTCGCAGCCGCCTCCGCCGCCGCCGCCTCTCGCTTCTCCACCGCCTCCGCCTCCACCCGCGCCGCGCCCACTGCGCAAGCGTCGCCCGCTCGGCCCCGCCCCTTCCTCCCCGGAAGCCCGCCCCTCAGTGGCGTCACAACCCCGTGACGTCCCCCGCGTGACCTCACCGCGGTGAAGCGCGAGAGCGGGAAGTAAGGAGGCAAGGCCCCGCCCAACGGGAGGCAGCGGGCGACTCCTGGCCTGACCTTCGCCTCGCCCCGCCCCATCCTCAGGGGGCGGAGGGAAAGCCGGGGTTTGGGGGAGAAGTTTCCGGCTCTTCGCTTAGGACAGGTCCGCCATTTTGGGGATGAGGGAACTTCTTCAAAAAGTTCCGAGAAGAGACCATGGCAAGGTCAAGTACCGGAGAGCACCCCGGGACCCAGTCCTCCCAGCCAGGAGTTTGCCCTTCGCGTTGGGAGGACTTGTTTGCTTAAGTTTACAGAGCTGCTGTCCCAGAGGGATGCTGCTGTAAGACCTGGGTTTCCCGGCCCCCTCGGTGGTGATTGCTCCAGTTGATTCCTGCAGTTTCTGTTATGCAATGGTACTGGCTAGTCTGGAAGTAAAGATGGCCTTGGTGTAAACATCAATGACAGGCCCAAACAAACGCCTCACATAATTGGTCAAGACCAACCCTCTTAAAGAGTAAGTCATGAGAATTTAGAATACTTTGTTCTGTTTTTAAACTAGAAGGCAAAAGTAAATAAATAAATAAATAAATAAATAAATAAAAGTAGAAGGCCTTGATCAGGTAGATATATGGTACATCTACCTGATCAAGGCCCCCATTCAAGATCAAAGAATGAGAGAGGAAACAGGAACCATCTTGTCTACCCCCTTACATTTCTTCATTCAGGAAGTGCTTTTCAACAATATTTGCCCCACACTCTGCTACAGTCAAGGGAGGGAAATGGTGAATAGGAAGTGGTCTCCTGCCTTCAGGTAGCTCTCTGTTTTACAAATAAGGAAAGTGAGACCCAGAAAATTTATATGCCTTGTCCAAAAATACACAGCGGCAAATCTAGAACCCAGCTTTCAGATTCCTAATGGAGTATGTTTTCAACAGCAGACCGAACTAGAATGACTAGTAGTGTCTAGAGTGCTAGAAGATTTTGGAAAGGGAAAGCATTCTACCTCCCGGCCCACTACACGTTTGAAATTCAAATTCTCATTTTGCCAGCCAAAAACCGGTTTGGCCCAGTGGATAGAGCGTCGGCCTGCAGACTGAAGGGTCCTGGGTTCAATTCCCGTCAAGGGCAAGTACCTTGGTTGCAGGCCCATACCCAGTGGGGGGCGTGCAAGAGGCAGGCAATCGATGGCTCTCTCGTCGATATTTCTAACTCTCTATTTCTCTCCCTACCTCTCTGTAAAAAAAAAAAAAAAAAAAAAAAAGTCTCATTTTGCCAATTATTGGTAAAGTTGGTCAATCCAACTTTCTCTAGTGATTTTTCCCCTCAAATGTAAATGTCTTACAGGAAACACACCTTACAGTAAGAATATTACAAACTCATACCATTCAGTAGTTATAAACATTCTGTAAGAAACTGTTCTTGGGCCTCAGAGATCTGTGTGGAAGCTTCGATCACTGTTAGGGCCTAATTTTTGGGTGACCACAATGTTGGAATATTTCACTAATATTAAGAAAAGTCTCCCTCAGAAGTGAGCATGTATTGTCCCAATTTTATGGATAATGGAATGGGGACACAGAAAGATTTAAACATCACAATATTAGAGCTGAAATGAACTGATACTGTCTAGTCCAACCTCCCCATTTTGCAAATGAAATTGAAACCGAGAGTAGGGAATTGATTCACCCAAGATCCTACAGCTAATAAGTGGTCTCCAAACTTCCAGTCTAGCTCTCCACCCACTATACCCTGCTACAGTTCCCTTTATACTTTGAGTTCAATTTGGCTTTAAATATAAAATTGTGGGGGCCTGCCAATCGTCTCCGTCTCAGCTGGCAACAATTACAAGAAATTGCCCATGTGCCTTCCCAGGCGGCCCTCTACACAAAATAATCAGAAATTTTGACCCAAGAACGAATTTTATGTTAGACCATAGACTTTCTAGGAAGCATTTTAACTTGCAACATCCATGGATTAAAGTTGGATTGACCAAAGATCCAAAAGAAAATGTCATTGGAACCTGAGAACCCAAGGAAAACTAAAAACTCTAGGGTCTGAGCTCATACCTACACAGCCCACAAAAGGCAAAAAGATCCTGTAAATAAGAGACCCAAATGCCTCAGAACTACAGTTCCTGATGGGTATTATCTCAAAGGAATGCAACTCCTCAAATAAACTCTAAAACTGTGGGGACATTTTTGATTCTCATGATATTGGTGTGGTACCCTGGCTCTTAATTCCCTGAGGACCAGATATGCTAAACATAAGTGCTTAAGAAAGTCATGCACAATAAAGAACTATCCCACTCCTAACCACTGTGCAGAAACAATGACCAAGGTGGCTGGCACTTTAGATATGAAGAAAGAACCACTACCACCTCCATCCCCGTGGGATGGTTCTCTTGTGGGATGGGATATTAAATGGAGGAAATGAGGTGTTACCTAATCAGGAGACTCCTAGAAAATGAATTTCCACTTGAGTCTGAGGAGATATCGATATTAACACATTTCTACCCTGATTGCTTTGTTTTGTTTTTGTTATAAAGAGAGCCTGGCCAAAACCGGTTTGGCTCAATGGATAGAGCATCGGCTTGGGGACTGAAGGGTCCCGGGTTCGATTCTGCTCAAGGGCATGTACTTTGGTTACGGGCACATCCCAGTAGGGGGTGTGCAGGAGGTAGCTGATCGGTGACTCTCATCGATGTTTCTAACTCTCTCTCTCTCTCCCTTCCTCTCTGTACAAAAATCAATAAAATATATTTAAAAGAGAGAGAAAGAGAGAGAGAGAGAGAGAGAGAGAGAGAGAGAGAGAGACAGCACACATGAGCCTTGAGAGGCAAAGGGACAAATTGCTGAACACCACTCTGAGAAAGGAAAGCTGACAGCAATATGCCAACAGGGCTTCTAGGGACTATCTCAGAAATGTCAGGGCTATGTTTGGATATGTCACTGCTTTGTTTATGCCCAAGACCAGCCAGTTCCTTTCTGAATTTCTTAGGCTGGTGATCTTGTGTTAAAAAAAAAAAAAAATTAAACTGATTAAAATCCCAAGACCAGGTCAGTTTCAGGGGTTCATAAGAGAGTTAAGCCAGTCTGTCATTCAGCATGAACATGAGTTTATTTCAGTTCTTTACATTCTCCCTCCATGCCATCAGCGTCTATATAAGCACTGCGTGCGAGGGCTCCTGGATCTCCATGTCCTATTCCACCAGTGTCCAGGGCCTTGGATGGCTGGGGGTCTGGCAGGCATAGGGGGCATTCAGAGTGAGAAGAAGACTATGCGATGACTCAGTAACCACTAGCCGCCTACATGGAGAGGGTGAGAAGCTGAAAGCTGATAATCAGAGATTGGAGAGCAAATTCCAGGAACCCCTGAAGAAGAAGGGACCCCTTCGAGACCATGAGGACCCGAGGACTCAGATCTTTGCAAGTTCTGTGGACATCATTCTCCAGATTGACAATATCCATCTTATTGCTGATGACTTCAGAGTCGAGAATGAGACAGAGCTGGCTATGTGCCTGTCTGTGGACAGTAAAATCGGTGGCTCTGAAAGGTCACTCGGCTGCAGCTGGTGACAGAAATCAAGGCTCTCAGGGAGGAGTTGCTTTTAGTGAAGAAGAACCACGAGGAGGAAATAAATGATCTACAAAACCAGATTTCCAACTCTGGGTTAACCATGGAGTTGGGTGCCCACAAATCCTCAGCAAGATCGTGGCAGACATCTGAGCCCAGGGTGGTGAGCTGGCTCAAGAACCAAGAGGAGCGAGATAGTATTACTCCCACCAGGTCCCAGTGGGCACCACAGCGGTCACCTCGCGGACAGCAGAGAGAGGAGCTGCTGAGGTGACACTCACAGAGCTCAGACATATGGCTCAGTCCTTGGAGGTTAGCCTGGACTGGATGAGAAATCCGAAGGCCGGGTTGGCGAGCAGCTGAGGGAGGTGAAGATACACATGCCACGCAGATGGGATAGCTCAGTGGGATACTGCTGCTCTGGGAGTCAGAGCAGGCCCAGACCCAGGCAGAAGGGCAGCGCCAAGCCCAGGAGTAGGAGGCCCTGCTGAGCATCAAGGTCAAGCTGGAGGTTGAGAGCAACACCTACGCCGACTGCCGGTAGAAGGAGAGGATTTGAATCTTGGTGGTGCCCTGGACAACAGCCACTCCATACAATTCACCCAAAAGACCGCCACCCACAGGACTGTGGACAGGAAACTAGTAGCTGAGGTAAAGGACACTGAGACTCTGAGGCATTAAAGTCAGCAGAAGTGGGACACCCCTTGGGGGGGCAGGAGGCCAGTAAAGGGTTCAGAGATCATTGCAGAGGCCGGGAGTAGAATGTAAAATTAGTATACTGCATGTACCGAACTATATAACAAGAGGTTGGAAATACTAATAATTAAAATTATTAATACTTTTAATTTTTATACTTTTTTATATTTAAAGAAATAAATAGGTCAACTTTATTTTCTTTTTTTTAAAAAATATGTTTTTATTGATTTCAGAGAGAGAGGAAGGGAGGAGAGAGACAGAGACAGAAAGACAGAGAGAAATATCCATGTGAGAGAGAAATGTCTATTGATTGCTTCCCACATGCACCTGGATTGGGAACTGAACCAGCAACCTCCTTGTGCACAGGACGAAGCTCAACCAA